TAATTTCCCACTAAAAGCAAGTTTTGATCTCCAACACATACTCTAGTCACCCACCAAGGATGATTGCCGCTGAGATCAAAAAGATCAACAGATAGAGAGAGAGAAAGAGAGAGAGAGAGAGATTAGAGCAGAAAAGTCTTGTTCTTTTTTTCCTAAACATGCCCTAACACGATTCTATTTTTCAAGGGTGCCAGTATTTTAAAATAAAATTCGAAGTTCATAAACTAATTCATTGAAGAAAATGTATATTTAGTATTAAAATCTTAGATTACCGATTTAATTCAGAAATTAAATTAAGTACTGACCGATTTAAGAAAAAAAATTACTAGATACTCACTCCCTTCTGTTATATGTATATATATATATATAATCTCTGTTACGAATTAGTGGTAATAGTTTTCTGTTTGAACTTATTTTAGTAAGAAGTTGCTATGTTTTGTAATAAAAATACTTGGAAAAAATATTATATTTTAAAAGAAATAAATATTTTATATTCAATTAAAATAATTGTTAATATTAAAATTACTTAAAAATATAATAATAGAGTACTTTAAAAAAAATATCTGTATTTAATTAAAATAAATGTGTATACTCAAATTACAAAAAGTGGTATAAAAAATAAATCAAAATAGAAATTGTGTATTGGTCAAAAAAAATTGTGCTTACTGAAACAACATAAAACGATAAAAAAAAAAGTTCAATTTAATTTATTATTTATACAGTGATTAATATATATATTTATATTATTTTAAAAAAAATTAATTTTTAACTTGGAACATATTACAAATAGATTCTAAATATTGACAAAATTACTTTATATTTTATTTATTTAATTACGGAAAGACTTTTAAAATGCAAACCAAACATATCTCATAAAGCAGTTTTAGTTTTATCCATTTAGCTGCAAATTATTTTCCAAATCAGAAGGTACATCCAAACACACCAAATCTAATTTCAGTTTGATCAATCAGCCAGTTCAATTTGAGATTTGTTATATTTGAAGTTTATGATTACCATCACTGGGACACCCCTATATAACAGAAAGAGATACCTTCCCAAATAAATGTATCATTTCAGCTACAAAATCGAGCAATCAAACTAAAGTTTACATCATAAACGGACGCATCTGGTGTAAATGTCTCCTTAAAAATTGTACTTGCAAAACATGCCAACTTCTTTTTCTAAGAAATATATATATATATATATATATATAGTAAGTTGCAGTTATTTACATTTTATCTATTGATATATATATTTAAATCGTATATTTTAACAATATCAATTAAAGCTCTATTTAGAAGAAAATAAGCACCGACTTCATTTAAACTAAGTCCGTTTACTCGTCATTTTCAGTCTCTTCTACCTATTAGAGTGGGTTCGAAAGTTCAAACCCACATTTCTGGAAACCCCTTACCTACGCGGTACCAATTTCTCAATTGAAACTTGAAACTCAATGTTGCTCCAAATCCAACGAGTATGTAAGATTGTTTTCATATGACGAACAAAAAAAGTTTCAAGCTATTCGAAGAGCAATTCGTGCTTTATCTGTATTTATAGAGTTTTTTCAATTTGAGAGGGAAGCAAAATTTTAACAATCACGAAAATGCGCAGGAGAGAAAAGAATGAATCTATCACTGACT